CTGCGTGCGTGACTCGAACCGGCGCTCGCGTACGGCACCTAATCGCCTAGCTTCACGCCACTACACGTCTTCCCCTCGGCCACCGGGCATCCCCAAAAAAGGATGCTTAATAACCGAGCTTATTACGTGCAGAGAACGTGAAACCCGTCCACGCGATACGCGCCACACAGCATGGCCTGATCGGTCTACTCGGAATGTCACATCGTACATTTTGACTCAAAGTACTCGAACTAACAAGATGGTGGTGATCTCCAATTTCCCGATAACTGTTATCCAACTGTTATACTGTTATGAAATGTCATGAACCCAATATTTATATGCGTTTTTGGCTATTCTATCATTTGACAACCGCGTCAGCCGCATCCAATGTGTATCAAACATGATGCACATAACAACAAAATGTCGATGAATGTCATTCACATCCTCCCAAGGGCTTAGCAAATTGTAAACTGAATAGACTTTTCAAGGTAGAGTGAACCAAGTGAGTATTGATTGGTCACAAAATTCGGAGGAGAATAACGCACTGGAGAGGAACACTTGTAGCCAGGTGTTTATTGCTCAACTGCTAGGCCTGGAACTGAGTCTAAATACTCACGAGATGTTCCATAAAATGTATCAATATCATTATGCTTATTTGCATAATTACTAAACTAAACGTCATAGCCTCAAATCATTACACAAATACATTTAGCAAAATAATGCCCTGGACATTATTTTGATTGTATTAACACCGGTAGGTACTTTCATCGAGTTTGAATAAAGTTACTGTGTCGATTCAATGACGTCATTCGAAAACATGGCGGCAGTAAATATAATCACACATCGAAAAAGATGCAAAAACGAAACATTGTGCACATAATTGCGTTTCAAATCATTTTTAATCACATAACCATATATGGTTTATACACATCATTTCTCAAATTATAGTTGATGATGCAGCTCCCAGTAGAAAATGGAAAATCCAGCAGCAGCGGCAAATAATAACATCATGAATATGACGTAGAAACAACGACAAGATCTCCTAGCAACGACACCATCATCATCGTAGAGATCGGGATGGTTCAACACTGCCTTGCCTCGTCTACTGCGTACAACTGTTTTGAGAGCGCCCTTCCAGCGGGTATCACGGCCCTGAAACACACACAATGCATACAAATATTTCTTTTCTCCACATTAACATACAATGTAATATATAGAAAATGGTATAAAGTATATATCATAGTTAGTCAAATCATTATGACTCTTATATTACCTTGACGTTATCGGTGAAAGTTCTTAAACTCCAGTTCAAAGCCTGTGTAATGAAAACAAAATCACAAACTTTATCATGAGAACAATAAATCTCCATATAGTAGTTCTTTTTATATGAAAACGGTATTAGGAAGGGCGACTCAGCCATATACTAAGAGTTGGTCCGAGGTGTCTATAACTTTTAAGATATACGAAAGGCTTTAATAAATTAACTTTTGTAAATCTCATACTCGGAATACATAGTTTGTGCATATCTCGTACTTTCCGAAATATTGAAATCATTTTATTTCAGTGTTAGCTGTAATCGTAGAATTATATAGTATGACATCACTCACCAAATTAAGAAGATCGTCGATGTAAGCTAACTGTTCTCTGGAAGGATTTAGATTCTTTGCTTGTGCCAAGTATGATATAGCCTGTAAAAAAACAACGTTATAACATTACTAACAACATTAGCTAGACTGACTGCCTTCTGCACTGAGTGAAATTATAAAAAAAACAAAAGTACACGTCTCAATAGCAAAGTGTCACCATCTTGTCGTAAAAACAAACCGATTAAGTATAATTTTACCGGGGTCACCCCGCCCTCAATCTTAAAAAAGAAGCCCATTTATATAGCGACTTGTAACTCTCACCTGCATATTGTGGCCTGTGCTGATTGCGATGGAACCTGCTTTTATGAGGTAGTGCCTAGTTTTTGAGTTGCTGCCAGCAGCCCGCCAATGGCGTATCAATTGAGGATACACCGTCACTAATTCTTCCTCCTCGCTTTTCTCGGTTATCAAACTGCAATAAAAAATGACGTTAGAAATGCCGATGTGAAAGATTAGATTATATAATTCGTTATTGTTTGGACTTGTGACTGGTGTGGAGGGCAAACTGTAATGTTGAGTTGCCAAGGTAAGCACTATGAGATAATACGTCTCATTGCGCTTAATATAGTGGCGAACATTAGCAAGAAATTGAAATACGAATGTAAGGTTTACATGGAAACATGACATACCTTGTTGTGCTCGGCGAGCAACTCAGTTTTGATGGCGTGCCGCGTGATTTGTTGAACTTCATTTTCTTGAAAAATGAAAGAGGCTTGTACCCAGTTCCTATTAAGAAAAAAAAAATACGCAGTACTGTCAGAACTTTGTGGCAGCATTGCTAATAAACTGACGACGTTTGACTAAATTGATTCAAACATGTTGGAAAATGTAATAAACATACTCCTTGCATTGTGTTGTCAAGAAAAGGAAGACAAACGTCGTACACAGTACATGTTTACTTTGACTTGACATACTACTGTAAAACATGCTAGCATGTTATTTTAGCTACTTTAGCTAATCTGTTATTTCGCTAATTTAAAGTAAAGTATATTCTCACAATGAGATTATTGGCATTTTAGCTAAATTAAGAATCAGTTAATTCATGTATTGAGTCAAATTCGCTAAAATGGCAAGTAGTTATTTAAACATATTTTACAGTATTTCCCACACCGTTTATTCGGTGTTTTTTACTTGCTTTACTTTCTACGTCACCAGCTACTATGAGCTTACAATTATTTACCAGTATTTGTTCAAAAAAAAAGATATTTTGTGATCAATACTTAGTATATAATTAATATTCTTAGAAAATCCGACCCACCACCCTGACAAATGTCAGAAGTAAATTAATTGTTAGCATAGTATTTGTGTGGTAAATCCATTATAAAAAACACATTTATCGCAATAAAGTTATGTAATCACCTTGATCGTCACGTTGGGAGTTGATGAAGTTTTCATCTAAGTAGTTAGCAACCTTGCCGTGGAGCTTCTTGCGTTGACTTTCGAGTAAGGTAGAGTAGGCACATTCTTGGACAATGGCGGTGCGGAATCGAAGAGTCTCTTTGAAGCTATCGCTGCTGAACGACACATCTAATAGTGCTGCTTTTGATAGAATAGCTAAAGACGATTCGAATTTCTTTGCATTGGCATTTGGCAATATCCGTAACAGGGTATCTTTTTCCATTGACATGCCGATGACTGAGGCACACTTGATTACCATGCGTTCAGTGGCTGACAAGCGATCGATCTTAGCCAAGATCATACCTGAAACGAAATCACATGATTACACATGATGATGATGGCGATGATCAACAATGAACAATTTCCCATTATGTTTAATTTGTTCCAAATTATCATTCAAATTTGAGAAAATTAAACTAAATCTTTGCATCAAGAATTCAATGGGATAACTGCACGTCATTTTATAGGACCGACTGATGTTATACACACCTGATAGAGATGCCGGTATGGGCAGCATGTGAAGTTTCAAGCCTGGCGTCACGATGCAAACGTTATGGCCTTCCTGATTGTGGACTACGTGTATCTTGTTTGTTGCCATCAGATCATTAACAAGTGCTTCTACCCAAGAAGGCAATCCATGGCTGCGAGTTTCCAAAATCCTAGAACGCGAAAACAAGGAATGAAATTCTTTGCAATCATGTGGTGGCGTACTTTGGGTCTCAGCTCCATTGCATGGAGGGCGCCACCATGTTCAGATTACTAGTATTCATTCAATCTATCGTGTTTAAAATGAGTTGAATAGTAACACGAATCTTTGATATTTGCGCAAAATTCTACCAAAACTAAAATTGAAAGTAAAATTGCATACATACCTAAGCAGTTCTTCTGCTACCTTCACACAATCAAGAAACTGACACGCTAGAGGGCCCATGAACTGCGGCTCGAGGCCCTTCAGTTTGATACGTAAAGTGTACTCATTGTTGAGCGCGACAGTTGCTGCTGGGCACTGTTCTTTGTTTGTCGGGCAAGGTCGCATCGCTAAAACGCAAACTGCTTTGGAATCAGAAGCCAGATCAGTTAAAAATTCCCATGATTCATTGTCCATGAAGTGTGCGTCATCGATCGCAAAAATCAGACAGGTTTTGTTGGCGAACTAGAGAACACAAAAGAAGATGAATATCAATAAATATGTACTTTTTCAATAATGTGCATAATTCTCATAATGCAACATGACTATGGCGAACATAATCAGGCATGCTTTAAATGACGTAAGTTGTTAAGTATGACAAGTCACCTGATGAATAATTTGGTTCAATAGTTTCCTCATTTCCAGATCTCGTTTTGAAGTACTCATGTGAGTCAGTTCTTCATCGCATGTAATCTGCAAACAGACAAATACAACAATTATAAAAAGTTTACAGTAACTAACATACTACTCGTATAATATCTATAAATAGCGCCCTCTAGTGATATAATGCTTCTGTGACGACAACATGACGTATATGGGTGAAGGCAATGTGGTTCAAATCGGCCACTGTGTTTGGAGTGTAGTTGTTTGTCATCTAGAATACAGTAAAATCTTTCCAACAACTTTCGTGTCATCCTTTTTATTGTTATTACCGTGTTTAACGTGATCGGTAATATTGTAAAAAGATCACAGTGCATGCTTACCTGTAGCCCAAGCAGATCGTTGAGAAGGCAGAGGTACCCCGTGATACCATCTGAGCATTTATACAGAGCCTCCTCGCGTTCGATGTGGGTACTGCAACCGTCCATGCTGAACAATGTCTTGAGTAGTCTCTTCACAGTGTAGTAGGGGTTGGTAGAATCGTTCAAATACAGTGGACATGAAACAACCCTGAAAATGCATTTTACCCAACATTAGTTTATATAGCTGTACTGTGAACGCAACACGAATTCGGTAGAAAGTGTCCGTATATGCCCACGTTGTAAAATATAAGCACACGTAACTGAGTTTAAATCTGTTTGGAGCGTATACTAATGCAATCTTGGATAGATATCATACATATAAGCATATATTTTAATTCATATTCGTAATGTCTCTCGCCAGCGCCTATTTAAGTGCGATAATGAATGGTATTCTGTTCTCTTAATTTGTTGAAGGAAGTACATGTATTATGCATATATCTATAACGTTTTTTGTATGTCGGTATAAGAAGTTGTCGTTAGTTGTTTTACTATGAACCCTTGCGTTTCCATAAACATTAATAATAATTTCAAAGGAATGATGAAACAAGTCGATAAGAATTTATATTTCGCAATGATGTAATTTACATATGTTGGTTTCCATGGTGATGTCAGTTTTTACCTGTGACCTTGTTGCGTCGCCAAGTCTGTTGCTGCTTGCAGGACGCGTGACTTTCCGACACCAGCTTCACCCTCAAAGACCACCAATCGGCGATGGCTTTTCTCCCGGTGCTCGGTGATAAGATTTAGAGCCGAAGTGAACTGTGCCATTTCATTGGTATAACCTGTAAAACGAACATAGTACCAATGGTTCATGAATATAATACTATACTTGTGTGTTCCACTTGTCATTTCCTAACGTTTTCCTTCGTTTCATCACAACAATAGTCTCGTTCATAGTCTGTACTTTCCTTCAGAAGATTGGAACAAAAATAGCAAAAGTTTTGAATAAAAACTGAAAATTGACTCAAATTTTGTCTGCTGACTCCAAAATTGGGGCTCATTTCCAGAAATATTAAGGAATATAAAAAAGAAGCGCGGACAAATTTGAGCGAGAAAGTTTGGTTGAAATGGTCAACATGAAGGAGAAATGCATTGACTTTCGTCCCATGTGGCAGAAGACGTATCATTATACGGTATATACTGGTTATTGATAATTAGTGAAAACGACATTAACAAGAAAAACAACAATGTCGATACTCAAAAACATACATACCCAGTAACGGGAATTTAGAGTCCGATGGTTGAATCATTTTCTCAATGGAACTAAAGGAAAAAATAACAAAATAAAGAATGAATACAAATTTCAAACATGATAAGCAAAATTAATGATGTCCTTGTCTGGTCGTCTGTCCATCCGTCTGTCAGTTGTATTGTATATTCGTGTAATGTTCGTGGCGAGAAGGTTTTTAGAAGGTTAAACATAGTATTGCACTGTTGTTTTGAGTCAACGGCAAAATCACGCCGCCAGCTGCATTTTGTTCATGAATTCCTGGTTTTCAGTTACGCCCCCAGCGACAGACTACTTTACATCGATGCTGAACTTACCAGTGATTGTCCTCCAAATACTGCCTGATCGGACCAGCTTGTCTCAGACCTTTCATTTCCTTACTCGGTAGAAGTTTAAAGCAAGGAAGGCCAAGTTTAGACAATTCATATGTCGCTTCGTCGCAGGAAATGATGCCAGCATAATGCATCATCAAACGAGCTGCCATATTGGCTTTGCGTCCAATAACTAGTAATTGAAAGAAAACAGATATGTTGTTACCAGGCGACATATGGTGATTGGATGTGAATACAATATGATATAGTCTTATTGTCTTCTCAGACTATTAATGTTTGAGATTGTTTTACATCATTTCCTGTTACTAGTACTGTATAAGTTGTGTTAGGATTGACATACCAGTGTACTCATGCCTGTCCGGGTGACCAACCACACCACAAAACACGTTGCCAGTAGTAACGCCAATTGAAGCACGTCTATAATAAAAAAAAACACATTTATTTCATGATATGTCAATTTTAAAATTTCTAACGAATGTTAATTAATAAATGATAATTGTATGTTGCGTCACGTGAGTTGTAACGCGGACCAATGACAAGGCTGCATCAGTTGGCGCAGTTAATATATACGAATGTATGGTATAATTATTGAATATAACCTGGACAACGCGAAAAACATATTAAACATTTCCTTACATGATTTTGTCGATGGATTCAATACGCTCTCTGATTCTGTGAGAACATTGAAGCGCATGCGCACACTCGTTCTCGTGTTTGTAACCAGGGAGACCAAAGATGACGAGGAATGTACATCCCTGAAATATAAATAAGAGGTGTTAGAATGACGTCACATACTATCATTTAAATTTATTAATTCAACGTCTTATTCATAGGTGTTAACAAATATGTAAATATTAATAACGGAAGTACCCACCTTATCGAACATGAATACTTTGTTCAAGCATCCTGCGAATTAAAGAAAATGTAATGTGTCAGTTGTTGGGTTGTGACACGATATTGAAGCAGAGACAACCGATGAACTCCGATCTCCCGACAACAAGGTGTAATAAGTATAGTATTGACCTTTTCACCGCTAGTTTCCTGTTTTCATCAAAAAATTAACAAAATACCCTTGTTTATAGTCTGCACTTTCCTACAGAAGATTTGACAAAAATATTCGATATTTTTTAGTAAAAACTGACAATTTTGTCTGTTGGCTCCAATATTAGGGTTAATTTCCAGAAATATTAAAGAATATGAAACAAAAAGTGCAGACAAATTTAGGCGAGAAAGTCTGCTGGTGAAAAGGCTAAGGCATAGCGTTTGTCACAAGAATTGCGATGTCCTGTGAATACTCAATATTTCTAAAACATATGTTACAATAATTGTGTGGTGTGTACCTTGAAACTGAACCACTGTCTCATTGATAGCATCGAAAGCGTCTTGAAGAATAAAACACTCGACTTCTTTAGGAACGCTAGTTAAAGTGAGATTGATGAAGACGATGGAGACTTGTCGAAGTTCACACAGATATTCCAGTGGCTGATTTTCCTCTATCTGTAAAAGATTGAACACGATACATTAAATCTATATCTATAGAATAATATCTACATCACTTAAAATATAGTATACTGTTACAATCAGCTACAATATACTTCAAGAAACAATATATTGGTCCAAAGACTATAAAATATTTTCTATAACGGTACAACGTCACGGTAAAAGAAACCAAAGTTTATCGATCGCATTGGTAAACTTTGACTTACTAAATATTATACGTTGTTTTGTGTTTACGCCCAACCAGTTGGTTCGGTGGTTCTGATATCACTTTGAAATTGAAATGAATATAATTCTCGAATAAGGGAATAAGATTTCTATGTTGACTTACCTTGTTAATTACAGGCGCCGCTACGTAAGGTTCCAGCATTCCTTTACGCACTGTGAACGGGAAATACACAGAAATAAATACAAAGTATACCGTATGCAATCACATATGTTTTAATGATCGGAAAACTATAACAATGTTACACGTCGGTGATAACTGAATTTTATACTTACCAATAGTATCGATGTGCTGTCGTTTCCGTGGCAACGCGTTGTTAAAATTTGAGTTACTTTTCTTCGTGAAGTAACTGACGGCTGTAAATAAGAACAAAATATGACGATTTCGAAGCAACAACTTTTGAGAAACCCAACGCTGCACTTTGTGTATATTGCCATGGTTACACAATGTGCGACATCATCACCAAAGTATGCTAGTTTGTGGCATTGTTCAGATAAATTATACTTACCGGAAACGACCTTTGACTTCGACGGGTCGTATTCCTTTCCCCAGTCCTTGGTAATGTTCAGAACCTGAAACAAACAAATATATAATTGATCATGATCAAATGTGTATGGCACATTATTGAGCGCTGAAATAAATTTAGTTTCGCGTTTTTCGAATCCCACACAATGTTTTGACGTCACGTCACTACGACGTTATTTGTTCGTCTCATTGTTATGTTCGCTTTCACGCATAGCGCAGGATCTCGCAGTGAACGAAAAATGGTCTACTGGTTTGACATCGACTTTGACATAGGATACACTGGCACTACAATGTATGTCATAGTCATTACTGTAAACTTGAAAGGGTGCCACTAATGGACACTAAAACAGTAGTTGGTCCAAGCCGTAGTTGGTCCGGAAGGCAATCAAGCAATGTAAATAACCTTACATGTTACGTAACGTGGTAACAGACATTGTGTCTGTCTATTCCCGACAATATACTGATCACCAGTGAGTAAGGCTGCATACAAGCTTTTGTCATTTTTTTGTATGCGACCGTACACAAGTTGCAATTACTAGTAAACCAAGTTGCTGGATCGATATATAAGTTCCCACAATTATTCCTTGATTTTCTTGAACGTTATAGCTCATTCTGGCATTTTAGAATTAAAATCAGGCGCATGTCATTAACAATAGTCTCCCACACTTTTAGAGAAAATATGCTACTATGTAAGACATGGTGTTACCTTTACATGTTCCGAATCTCTCATCAATGCATACGTCATTCTTTTCTTATCGGGACAAACTTTCCAAGTCTTGGGTGACAAGACAAGCAGTCCTGCACTTGCCGCGTTCTCCGCGTCTCGTACATTATTGATACATGGACCTGACATCACAAACTGTTGACTGTCTTTGTTCCCTATGAACGTTGCGTACAGTGGTCCAACTGCCACTCCTATAATATATTTTACAATGAAAATGATTCCTGTACTGTGACTGAAGTCGAGACGTGAAGTACTAACATTTCAGATGTTAACATTGAAATGTTTTCGTGCCCTCGCTGCAAAGTCTTATTATTTCTGCAACGGTCGCCATCGTCCAACATGGCGGAAAGTTTGGTTCATATTACGACTGATATTTAAAATAAAATTCACACATTTTCATTTTCATACTGTTTCAGGATAGGTCCGTCTCTTGTGGATTTTAAACTTAAATAATTTAACGGTTTCTCCGACTTATAAAACGGCAAAACATGAATGTATCCATTTTCCATTTCCGCGTAGTCAGAAAATATTCTTGTTTTTACTATCCTTTGTCAATTTAGTACTCGTTGGTTTTATCGTGTCTGTATAATATTTGAAATAAACATATGTACTTTTCAACTCACCTATCTTAACTCGTAGTTTCACTCCAACCTCCGTGTCCCAATTGTCGCATTTTTTTTGTATTTTCATTCCACATTTTAAAGCACTGACTAGACCGTTGAGGGCTGTCTTCGTTGTTGTTTCCCAGAAAGAGAGAATAGCGTCTCCTGTGGTATATATTGAGACAAAATCTTTATTTATGATATGTGAGTTGATAAACAAACAAATACACAACAATGCATACTTACATACAAACAAACATTTTAGTTGCCTGGCCAACCGACCATGTGTTTACTGAAACTTTACATATTTTGACAAATTTAATTTTATCGTCTTCACTGAAATAAAAATGCCGTCATAGATTCTATTTCCGGTACGCGTTAAAGGAAGTAGTAATGGAAAGTAGTACATGTACAAGATTACAACAACTGAACTGTAGAAATGCACCGGAACCACATGCTAAATGCACCGGAAACAAGTACTTCACAATAAATATTAATTTTATGATATCAAATCGTTGACCAGAAAACTGCGCAAGTTGAAAACTCAATAAATTAATCAACGGAAATATTCTGTAATGTTGGGCTACTGACGAGAAAATTGATAGTCGAGGCAATTTAATAATCCTTTTTTAAAATCTTGGTCTGGCGCGAAATTACCACGACTTAAGCGATATATCTACAAACTCTTTCGTGGCAGGTATAAAACAATAGAATTGCCACGAATGGACAGTCCAGCAAGAAAGTTCTGACCATATATTTTGCGAAGGCCGTAACTGTATGTTCCCTCAAAAACAAACAATACCAGAAATTATAAATGTTATAGAGGCAAATATACAACAAATTATAACAATTAATTAGTCAATATGATTTTTTTACAATTTATTTTTGCCTGCAATAATAGCTCTCATTTTGCACACTGTACCTGCAAACTTGATGACGTCACCATTAGAGTCCAGTATATTCTCAACTATAGCACCCATGTACTCATTTAGAGTTTTAGTCAAGGCGTCGGAGCCACAACCTTTTTTAGCCTCCATGCCATACTTCTCACATAGGGCAGTGAAACCTGACAACAGTCAAGAAATAAACATGAATTGTCAAACAAGCCAATACTTAGAATAAGTATTAATCGAAGTAACATTCATCTTTGGACAGACTTCGCGTTCCACTGTCCGTGACTAGAATTTGACGATGAGAAAACACAATCACAGGCTCGTGATCGCTGCACTGCAAGACACGTCTTCTAAATAACGCATCTGATGTTGAAAACAAATCTTACCTGAGACATCTACAAACATGAGTACGCCAAACATAGGACGAGTGTAAGGTATCTTCTTCTGAAGACCCTGCTTAATAACTATGTCCGGAACATGAGTGATCAATTTACTAGCGGTTTCTGAAAAACAAACAAACAAAGAAATATATCGTGTCACCATGTAACTACGACTTGGCACTGCCCACTGACTGTATTTAACAAGAAAAAAACTATGTATTTTTTTTTACAGTAACATTCGTTCAGATGTGTTTGTCATGAAAATTTCCCATAGAAAACTACCTATATTCTAACTGCGGCTTATAACAGTATGCCTGCTCGAACCTACCGTCTTTAAAATTGTCCTTAATATGCAAAAAGTGTTTCCCGCTCAAACTGGAAAACGACATTTTGCCGTTTGTGCTCTTAACCAACACAGGTGTCTTACGCCTCACTGCCGCTGACTGTAATGTGAATGTTCTCGTACCGTGGCCACTATATGTTCTTATTGTTCCATTATTCAACGTTGTCAAACCATTGTTCATTCCACGCTGCGCACAAGTACGCGCCATGACGCGCACATTGTTCTTAAACGTCAACAGTGCGTATTGTTGTGTGTTGAGGCGCGTTTTCGATTATTCGCCGGGCGGCCAAGTGACGTAGAACTTTTCCTTTGTGATCGGTTCAAACAGTGGCTAATTGTGAATTATTAAAACTATGGCGACCGCTATGATAATTGCGACTAGCAGGTTGGAGAACTGTTACTGAAAGCTTCTAACTAAACCTGACAAAACAACATCCCGACGCGATACGCGTTGCTATGCTATACAATCAATAAAGGGTGATATTACGATTACCTACGACCATGAATGTAGACGTAAATTCTTTTCATTTTCTCGACAACTAGCGACTTTTTTTGTAAAGCAGAAGACATGTATACTTTCTTATTTGCCAGTTTATAGGTGTAGATTACTTCACGGATTGTAGAATCCGTGAAGTATCTAGTCTGGTTGCCGCTACTAGAGGTCGCCATCGCCGACCTCTACAGGCGGAAACCAGGCTAGTTCATCATCTCACAAATCTGGTCCATGATTCCTATTTGTTTCACACACTTTCATGAACTTCAATTATAACATTACACAAAATTGCTCTGAATTGTTCCGATACTACGAATGAAACGTTCAGTACTGCAGTATGACTGTGATGAATTAGTTGATACATAGCTGGGTAGGGAGGTGTCCCTGGGATCTCAAAACAGTGACCATTTTTATACCTGGATACCCATATTTATACCAAAGTACCATTTCTGTCGTCACTGTTTAGTCCAAATAAAACAGTTACCATATTTGCTCTATTTAGAAGAGTATCTCCAATATAAGCACATGTAAACCAACAGTTGCATTGTATATTGATTTATTAAAATATGTATTTTGACCATAGAAACACCTCATCACCGTGTTAAATCTCCGTTTAAATTTGATAGTTGATTGCCTTAGTTCTATGTATTGCCCCCGGGACTTCAACTTGTAATAATTGTCCCTATTTATCAAACACAGAGCCTGTGACATTAAAATTAGTAACCTGTTTTCCGAACCTTGAAAATAAGTTTCAATTTTCAGTCCTAAGCACGTTAGGTTACCTTTATGTAACATAACAATCCTTGTCTTTGTCGGTAAACCATAAGGGGAATACCAAATACCAGAAAAGAGTTTAGCAAGCAATGTACTCATCAACGTTTGGGTTTCGGGACAATCATCAAATACACAAATGGGTACATTTTATAGCAACATGTTATTTTTCGCCCGGACACAATTTTGAGATATGACGTCAACTTGTTACCATGGGAGGAAATACTAAATGGTTGTTCTTTGATCATACGATTGATATTTTTCTGGATTTTGTGAATAATGTAAAATAAAACCATATAAGTAGAGGACGTTTTGTGGTATGTTTTAATGGTAGCCAATGAGTTTAATGGCTAAACTGTGGTTGAAAAACCAATAGTGAACATTATGTGATATAATAATGTTTATAATAACATATGTTACATGTATTACGTTTTTTTAATATGTACATGTTTTTTTCTCGTTTTCTTTTTTTGTGCTCGGTCATTTCATTTGATATTGAATGCAGCTCCATGGTTGGTTTTAATAAAGAAGTAATTTACCCCTACATTATTATTTATTTTTTTATTGGCGAAAAACTGCGAACTCGGCAAATTTGGTTGCACAACTTCCCTTTATCATATACAGCCAGCGACACCAATGCCAGCTGACTGTGACTGTAGCTTTCAAAAAAGGCTCTAAACACATACTTATTTTTGTGAAATTTTGCCCCTTTTCAAGTGCAGAAACATAAAATAGATACCCTATATACATACTAAATCACACTGTTTCCGAGTTGAGATAACATTAATTCACGAGATTCCTTTTTTCACTATTTATTTTACGTTATTTGACCCTAAACACGGTACAAGCGTATACGTGTCAAATAACTAAATAACACTCCTCTTACGCGTTTTTTTTTTTTACTTCAGCTTGCGTACGGTATTTTATTCAGAGACAACACGTCCCCCCCCCCCGTGATCGGCGCAAAGTCAATGTTACCATCTTTGTTTATAGGAGTATATCTCACACATGTACGCGACTATCACGTGAGTGAGACTACAGTTTCCATATAACAGAATAACAAAATAATAGGAAAATAATTCAAGACAAAAACTACCGTGTTAGTCGAAAATACCAATATTTCAATATGTTTAAATTTTCAGCTATAAGTATTTTTAAAATTTCGCCAAGCATACACCACGAACTGAGATTTTCAACACTTACCTAGGGAGCCATAATTTTAAAATGGCTGCCTCCATGCTTTCACGCGTTTTTATTTTTACTCGTCCATTGCGTATCAAAACTACACACCGGCATGGAATAATTAAATACCCTATATGCAGTAAGTATTGTAAAATAGTTTGAGTTTCCTTTTCATCACAATGTTGATATGATGTGAACGATTGGACATCATCACCGTGTTTGTAATCGGACATTTATGATTTCATCGATGACGTCTACAGACGAGTCGACTGGTATCAGTGTTGATCAGTGAGATCGGTGTGTATCACTGTATATTAACTGTGCCAAAGTGAACATTGTTGTTCCAGGAAACTAGTTAAGTGATTAGGGCATACTTCCAAATGGCTGAGTCTGTATCAGAGTATGCATTGTAAAAACACGCTGATATTGCAGTGTAAATTAGCCCTGCGTATTAGTGCTGTGTGTACAGGGACGCGTTCGGGGTACCACAGGGAGCCCAGGAACTATAATCAACTGTAATACGCAGTCTCTATGAGCGGG